GGTGTTGATTGACAGCTGGCTGAACATGAGCCAGCGGTGTGCCCAGGTGGCCAAGAAGGCCAAGGGCATCCTGGCTTGGATCAGGAATAGTGTGGCCATCAGGAGTAGGGAGGTGATCATGCCACTGTACTTAGCACTGGTGAGGCTGCACCTGGAGTGCGGTGTTCAGTTTTGGGCCCCTCATTCCCCCTGTCTGCGATTGTTCTGACATATGTCTATAATAGAACCAAATAGGGGAGGGGTTTTACTAGTTTTCCAAGACTAGCAAAACTGATCAAAATCTCTCATTCTTCCTTTTTCTTTCTTAGATATTAAAAGAATACGGTGTGGAAGCAGGGGACTTTATGGGAAGCACAGAGGTTGCTTTTCCTTAATTTATAAAAGAAAAAATGACTGGAGATTAATCACCAATCTTAGTGCAGGATGGTGAGAGATGCCATATTCTAAAATAATTGAGTGTATTTTTCAGGTTTCTGTGGTTGTGGCAAGTAAAGGTGATAGTTCATGTATTTTTCTTCTAGTATTTATATACCATAAGTGTTTTCTTCTGATATGTATGAAGCTAAATCATGCAGTGTAGATGCTTTTAGATGAAAAATGCATATAATTTTAAAGGTTACATTTCAGAAAGGTAGTTAGACTTTAGCTTTCAAGTACCAGCATACATGAAATGTGATGGGATTTTCATGTGAGTTAGTTGAGTTGTTTGTGGCATAGGCATAAACGAATGTATTGGCTGAAGAGAAGTATTTGGCTTTCTAAAGAGCTGATACAGAAATGAAGAATGAAGCTGCAGTTTTAAAATGTGTTCAAGTTACCTCGTGAATTGTGGAGTCTAGCTCAGAGGGAGTCCTGTTGCACAGGAGAACATCCCGCTTTCCAAGTAGAACTACATACGTACATATATGTGTGTGTGCGTAATATTTGACATTTAGATAAAATATCAAAACTGCAGAAATTTTTCAAGATAGCAGATTTGTGACATAAAAGAAGTTAGTCCAAGAATGCAATCTTGTGATATTTTAATAGCTCATAAAAGGTCAAGACTTTTTAATTTCAGATTTAAATGTGTCTAATTTCATATACACAATGTATCCAGGTGTAACAGAGACACAACAGATGTGCAGATGCGTATACTTAAGAATATTCAATAATACTTCATCAGAACAAGGATTCATCTAGTCTAGCATCCTGTCTCCAACAGTGACCAAAAGCAAAAGCCTAGGGAAGATGTAGTACAGAAAGCTAGGAGACACGCATGTTTCCCCCCTGTATGCTCGCAGTGTCCAGCACCTTCTGTTTTTGGGCCTTGCTGAGCCAGGCAGGGTGGGGATTTTTATTAAGTAGTTTTCATTTGACTCCTTTCTCTGTCAACTTACCTAGCCTTTGTGAGAAGTGATGTATGTTTTGAGGCATGTGCTGAATTAAGGAGTACAAGCCTCTGATGGTTGTGTGTTCTGAAGAATACAGCAGTCTTTGTACAAGCATTTGGTTTGGAATATATTATTCATGGCTGCTGAAGACGTCATGGCATAGAGGTAGCCAAAAATATCAAACTGCTGCTATATGTGCAGCAAATACGGAATAGAGTTAGTTTTAACTCTGCCTTTATTCTTGGCAACAGGCAATAAATTCTGTAGTTTTTTGGTAGAGAGTACATCACTTGTCCTTTTATGGCATTTTAACCTGATTTCCAAGGCTATTGTGAACCGTTAATATCAGAGGTATTCCATTGCTTCTTTCCAGGTACGCTTCAGTTTCAAATCTTTACTTGAAGCTTCATGCTGTCCTAGTCACAAAGATGAAATGATACTTGAACAAATGGTACAATAAATAAACTGCATTCCTATACCAGAAATACATCCTGCAGTGTAGAAAGCAAGAAGAGATCCCCTTTTCTCCCAGTCTGACTGGGTAACATCCTGAAGATAAGTTGCAGCCTACAGAGTGTAAGATCTACGTAGAAAAATCAGTGTTTTATCTATAAAGCTAAAGGAAAACTTTAGGTTTTTTTAATGCTCCTTATATATTGACAGTTGTACAGGGAAAAAAAGCAACCACCCACCAAAAAAACCCCCACAACACCAGTCTTCGCCCCTAAATCTGTTGCTTTCAGGGTTTGTTAACCTTTAGGGGACAATAATTTCCTCATGGCTGCCAGCCTTAGCCTGCACCTAGGACAATGTGGAAGACTGTCAAGGAAGTATTTTTACCTCTTCTTTGAAGAAGGAGAAAGCATTTATGTGCAATGTATGATGGCATATATAAATGGACAAAAGAGTTAGCTTTACAGGTCACTACAATCAAGTGATTTGAAAAGCTGAAGTGCACAATGAGGTGACTGCCAGGGATATTGAGCTTTCCTCGAAGCCTGGGAAATGGGCTTGAAATCACTTATGCCTGCCCATGGCTTAACATAGTGATAAACAATGAGATGGTCTATTTTTCCCTGCTTGCAGGTGGTGAAAGAAAAGGATTGAATTGTTAAGTTCTATGTTATTCAGGCCTTTGGAGGATTAATACTGACATCAGAAAATCACTAGCAAGACCAAAAGAAACACCATGTTTTGGAAATAAGGGTATCTTCAGCAGTCTCTTAGATATTAAGGAGTGGTTATGTTTCACTGTGATGTTACAGCGAATTTAAACATGTCAGTTTGTCAGTCTGTATTCCAAAGAATTTTCATAGCAAAATACACAAACTAAACCCAAGAAAACAAACATACTTACACACCCCCTGCCTCCAGGCATATCTGCCTATAAAATTAAGTAATTTTAAAGAATTTTGTTAACAGATGCGAATTAGATCAAATATGTTTTTTGTGTTTTAAAATCGTCTGCTGATTTGGCAAACTAGCTTTAGTACACCATGTGCCAGAAGTTGCGGAGTTGGAACATGAGAATTCAGGAAAATATCTAGTCTTATGTTGCCCATCTGGTGCATTCAGGAATACTGTTTTTCAAGGAATTTAGAATTATTCATAGTTAATAGGGAGACAGATCCAAGTTTTTTTTTTTTCCCCAGGGAGAAGTAAGAGTGGAAGATCCTGAATACAAAAATAACTTGCTGTGAATTTGCTATTTATTTGCTGCTGGGTAGGGTGGAGAAGTGCACATGAGAGCAGGAGTTTTAGATTGTCTATGATAGTGAAATAAAAGACAATTGAT